CCTGAGTGACTGAACGCCTCGTGATTGTCTGCTAGCTCAATGATTTCTCCAATGGACATCATTCTCAACCTGATAACGCCAGAGTCCTCGCCATCCATCTCCCCCACCAACACCGTGAGTTCAGTGTGTGTGTGTGTGTGTGTGGGTGTGGGTGTGTGTGTTGTCAGAAAGCTCCTACAGTTTGCTGAATTAGAATATTACACTTGAAATGTGCATTGGTACTCTTATGGACTTCATGATGTGTACGTATTATAAGCAAACTGCATTTGATCTGTTTTATGGTTTGTATGTTGCCATGTTTTCACTCAAAAAGTCACGATTCGCAGTGCTGTTCCAAACTTGAATGACCTTCTTTATTCTGAGGAATGAGGTTTATCATGTTTAAGCTATTTTCCATGAAAGTGAATGGTGACTGAGGCTGTCAAGATCCGAAGTTCTCTGTATGACTTCTGAAGGCATACAATAACTTTGTGAGAAACAGACCATAATAACAGACCAACATGTAGTGTGTTGTTTACTGAAAATCTGTCTGATAAATTATTTAACCCTTTAACTGCCACTCACATTTTTGAACATAGACGTGAAAGTGCACGATCCAAACTTACATTTTTATAATTCATGAACGAAAACATTTTGTAACATGATATTGATGTACCATTTTCATGGTAATGCAGTGTTTGATTTTAAAATGGGTTTCAATGGATGCATTTTGAGATTTAAAGTTTTCAATTGATATATAATTTCTGATGATTTCTAAAATGTGATAGAGAAAAAGGCAACAAAGAAGACTTTTTTGACAAAGGTCAGAACTCCTGTTATGATGTAGATTTTTGAGGTGCACTCTTGTCATAAAGTAATCTATTACTTTTCCTACATAGATATTTTACCAATGTTTTTGGTAAAAATTATTTAGGAGTCTTAGACCTTTCCAACGATATATAGTTTGTCATGATTAGATTAGGATTTAATTGTAATATAGTGAAGAAAACATAGGCGTCCCACAGAGGGGACGGGTGACAGTTAAAGGGTTCATGTTAAAAAAAAAAAAAAAAATACATTTGGTGATTCAACTTGCTGAAGTTAAAGTTCGAAGTCATATGGAGGCTTGGACTGACATACCAGTGAGTAGATGATGACAGAATTGGCTTTTTCATGGTAAGAAGAGTATGAGTTTTCTCAAGAGTAAAAAGCTTTCACAAATGCTGTTTTGACATAATTACTCATGAAAGGCTCTCTTGTAGTTCTTGACCCAAGATAACCAGGGATTTGTTGAGTTTCACAACAGTAACATTAGTACAGACAATGGTAACACTTGTGTGCACATAACAGTAAGGCCATGAAGCACACTAAAATGTGTTTTGAAAGTAAAGCCCTACACAGTTTTAGCATGTGTTATCCTTGTTTCTTTTGTGTGTGTGTGTGTGTGTGTGTGTGTGGTGTTGTGTTTGCGTATGAACTCAGGTTAACATGTTGAGTTATGTAATTGTCCACCGCTGATGAATAAGGCATTGTTAGTGGCTCCAGTCTCCCTTAAAGCGACAGTAAAGAGGATTTCCACCTTTCTGAAACTGGCATTTGTGTAAATATGAAGGGCTTTTACAGCCATAATCAACTAGGTACAGAAACCGGATGAACACAGAGAGACATGTAAAGTAAAAAATAAAAACACACACACAGATAATCTGGTATGTCTATTGTGTAATTCAATGTATTGCAAGTTTCTAAGTTTCATTCACTTCCAGGAGTAATGTAGTACAGCTCTGCATTGTCATGTGTCTTTATTGAGGCTCAGACCTGTGCCACTGCTAGATTCCCTTCTGATATTTGATAAGTGGCACGTGGATCCGCTGCAGCCGCTGTAATAGTTGTTTGTAAGGCAGCAAAAGCATTAGTAATCACCTGAGCAAACATAAGAATGAGGAAGGCATATGATCCATTCACGTCATGAGTCGGTGTAAACACAGGTGTAAACAGGGAAGTGCATGTAGTACACACACTAACCTATCAGTCAGTCACAGAACGTCTAGGATATTTCACTTCAGATAGAAGTGTAAATGTAGATCACGTTAACACAGCTAATCGATTCAGATCGAAGAGCAGATCTGCTCCATCGGCCTGCAGTAACACAGTAACACTGTCCGTGATGAATGAGCGTCACAGGTGCTCATGGCAGATGCATGTTGATATCCACTGGTTAAGTCTGATGCATGCCTCACTGTTTCTGGGTCCAAATGCTCTATCAGATGCCCAAACACAGTAGTCATGACATGTCAGCTCATCTGTTGATCAAGAACCACTCACTCAGACAGTAAGAGACCATCTGATTGACATCATTGAGTTGTCTGAGGGCAGGTTGTCAGACTCAGATGTCATGCCATAGAGAGAGTCAACGGTCTGGTTATGCAGGACTACCGTAGAGTACTGTTCCAACATTGATGAATAACTAGATGAGTAACACAGAGTTAGCGCTCTAGTAACTAACAAGAAACTCAGGTTAATGGATGAGTAAGTCGGCTGTGTAGTTCACTGTTAGCTAATACTATATTTTCATATCTCTTGGCGAGCCTGTGTGTTCTGGTCTGTGGGCACGACTGCTGCGGCTGAAACTATCATTCAGCATTTCTTTCCCAGTCTTCTTCCTTCAGATGGTAATTTTTCTCACAATCAGTTCCTGATTCCAGTCTAGCAAGCCTTCGAGGCTGGTGCAGAACTCGTTTTTCTGGGCCTCTGAGCAGTGCTCAGCTCTGTTCAGCACATCTGACTAGTTTGTAAATTCACTGCTGGGAATTCTACAGATTTGACCACAAAGCTAGCAGAAAATGTCTTTAAAAAGGGCAAAGCGTACAGTCAGTGAATAACTGTAACCAAGTCCTGTTTCCACACTGTTATCCGTGTCCTTTTAGTTTGACTTTCGACTGAAGTGACTGTGACAGAAGGCTGTTGTTTTGGGCAGGTATAGGTGTGTTCTTTGTGTGGTATAAGAAGTGTGCCGCTGGAGGGCACTTGCATGTGGCTCAGGCTTACTGCACATACACTGGCGCAGCGCTGTATAAATAAAGGTGACTTGACTTAAACAGAGCACATCCGCAGGCTTCAGGAAGTGAAAATCATCTTCAGCATTTTTTGTTTTATTAAGACTATAAGACTATACTTTTCATGGCAGGCCTACCATAAACTCTGAGAGTCTCTCACATAATACGGATATAATCAAAACTCAAATATTTAATGTCCATGTATTTATGTATTTGATAAGGAGCGATGTATTAAGTGTAGTAATGATTAGTCAGCCAGACGTTATTGTAAACTGAACTTCTTCAGGGTTACACAAGGCTTGATCATGCTGTTGGGGTTTATTTCCTGTAATGCCGGGCTGACTGTACATTATTGCTTATATAATATTGTCTATGAACACCTGTGTGACTGTAATGAATATGAGCAACTGAATTGCTAATGGTTTACTGTCTGTGTGCTTGTGATGGGCTTAATGGCAGAACCGGTCAGTCTCTCTGGGTTTGTGGGTTTGTCCTCAATCACCCATTCCTTCCGCCTGCTCTATCTGCGCAGATTGCAGACCGCACAAATACTGTGAGCTGATTTGTGCTGGACTGTAAACAGATAGTGTTGCCATAGACTGAGACTTCTGCTGCTGTCTGGTTAAATCAGTGCAGGAATCATGGTCTTGTGTCATTAGAAGCTTTACGCAACTTCATACTGATGTTTTTAGAGAGTAACTCTGCAAAAGGTTATTATTTTAGTATGGCTTTATTAACACTTTGTTATACTGTGGTGGGCTAATTCATAGGTAAAAACATAATAATAATTTAAATAGCCGATACATAAAAGTTTGGGTTTTTTTCATTCACGACTTTTATTCAAAGATTTAAAAAAAAAGAAAAAAAGAAGTACATTTAGTATATTTGGCCAAATGGTGTCCATGTAGGTTTTCATTTAATGACATCCTATGCTTTTTTATTTTTAAAAGTGCTGTTATACTCATTTCTAGAATCATGCATTCTGTTTAAAATGACTGACTGAACACGGCTCCCATGTTGAAATATCGGTGCTTTTTATAATCTGCATTTTCCTGCATATTAAGAATTTCGAATGAATCCATATTCTCCCAGCATTCTCTGAGTCCGTTGCGCTGAATGTTTCCTTCACTGAAGCCAGTTGTTCACACTGAATAAATGCATCTCTGTACAATTATTCAACATCGCAACAGCAGCAACCACACAGAGCCTTAAGAATAAATCAGCATACGGATGCAGTCAGCAGTCGCTGCTGGGTTGAGCTCGAGCGTTGCGTTCAGGGATGACGTCATGCTCAGAGCTGCACGCGGGAGGAGCTCGAGCTCGAGTTCAGCTAGTGAAGTTCAGGAGAGAGAGACCGGGAGCTCTCGATGAAGAGATGCACTGGGAGCAGCTGCTGCGAGCGAGGAGCGGGAAGGTGAGTGAGTGCTCTGTCTCCTTACATTACACACATTATAACCAGTTATAACGCTCTACAGACGGAGTCTGGTCTGAGATCATGCAACATTGTGTCATTTCAGCCTGCGCTCTTGAACATGTTTCCCTTCACGTCCGGTGGACTCACTCTCTGCTGTGCTCGAGTAAGATCAGAGCTATTTGACTTTATGTCATTTTAGTGCAGGCTTCCAACTCTCTCTGCATCGGTATAATAACAAGATTGCATTACCTCATGCTTCTATCAAATCATCATTTAACATTCATTCCCAAAGTGAGTGGTTACGATCTTCTCACAAAGCCCTTGTTTGTTTAATGCAGTTATTACTGCTGAGGTCAGATTTAACACTGCTGTCTGACAGAGCTGGACTAGGTGATGCTCAGACCTCAATATTCAGCTCATTCTGTCTGAACTGACTGTTTAACTGTCAGGTCCGCACATGCCTGTATTGCTGCAAATACGCTTTTTTCCAGTGTGAGATAGGAGTATCTTTGTCTTGATCTTCCCTGTAAAAAGTGTTGAAACATCCAAAACAGGTTCAATTTACTGGGTTCAAGATACTAAGACCGGTTTTCAGCAAATGTACTTCACAAAAACGAGGCACAGTGGTCGTGTCTGATGGAGATGTTGACCTTTAATAGCCTCGTCTGCATGCATGCCGATTGCAGAAGCGGGCGATTGCTTCATTGTGTCAGCAGAAAGACACGGAAAGATCTATTTTCCAAGAAGTGACATGGCTTCTCTTGTGTGTCCCTCTCTCTTCTCTGTGTTTCTCCAGATCGAGAGGCTGGAGGGCGGTCTGGCGGCGGCGTGCGGTGCTGACGGTTCGCTGCTGGGCTCGGAGGACGCCGGGCTGGACCCCCAGCGCACACGGCAGGCCATCGCACAGCTGCAGCAGAAGATCCTGAAGCTCACCGAGCAGCTGCGCATCGAGCAGGCGGCCCGTGACGAGAATGTGGCCGAGTACCTCAAACTGGCCAGCAATGCCAGCGACAAACAGCAGAGCTCCCGCATCAAACAGGTTTCATCTCACGTTTCACTGTGTCTTACACATGAACCAGCCTGCTGTCTTTTTATCTCTGCATGTATGCATCTTCAAAACATGTCTGAAGACTACTAGAGATAATATTCAGCATGAACATGAATCTTGTATTCGTACCAGTATTATTATTATTTTAAATTTTGACCTTGTTTGCATGACAATTTAAGTCAAGCATGAAATTAATATTCACCGTATGTATTTGGCAAATGTGTGGTATAGACCTTTTTGTGAACAATTCATCTGTGCACGTTTTATTTTTAAAAAATATGTTGATCTGGTAATGTTTAATCAAAATGTCTAGTTGGTTTATCTAGTGAAGTGACATATGCAGGACTTCTCCAATCATTTAGTCCACTGAAGCTCCTGCCCTACAAGCTCAGGCTCATCTGAGAGCCACGCCCACATCTTACCAACCAATCAACAACTGATGCACACAACCAAGCCCCGCCCTGCATTTATCTTTTTCTGTAAATCTGTCATATTTGCTGCGTCCCAATGTGCCTACTTATACTACGCCCTTAAAGTATGTACTCTTTTGGTGCGGAAAAAGTACACACTTCTGAGTGTGTAGTAGAAGAGTAGGCAAGCTTTACAAACTATCACGTCACACAACTGCGTCTTTAACGGTCGCACCCTGTCACTGTAAACTGGCCTGTCAATCACCTTGTCACACTTCACATCCTCTACATTGCATTTCATTTAACTTCCAACCGTATTAGAGAGAAAAGAAGTGGCGCGTTGATCTTCCATCCGTATGTCTTCATACGGAGATCTCTGCTCAGATTTTTTACGTAATAATGTTAATGGCCAAACAGATGTTTATAAAAGTTCACATTGTTGTTGCAGATGAAATAAAACACCAATAACATTAACTAAATATTTTTACCAGGTTAAATGTTGATTATTAGTAACTCAAACCCCTTTGTCGGTCGCGCACATCCACCATGTTTGTAGTTTTTAATGCTTTTTTAATCGTATTTGTAGTTCTGAACCAAAAGCGCATTGGATTGTGGGTAATATTAGCTTTTAGAGTGTGCAGGGATCCACACTTCAAAAATCTACCCGAAATAGTAGACAATACGGGGACCTTTTGCATACTCTTTTCAACATACTGTGCTTTAGGACACACTTATTCTAATCTCACTTACTATTTAGGATGGATAGTATGAACATTGGGATGCAGGGATTCAGATGTGCCACACTACTTTGTGACTTTAAGTAACTGTGAAACAACAGCCTTGGGCCAATATTGCCACCTTGTGGCCAAACTAATTAGTACAAAAAAAATCAAAGCAGGTGTGTATGTGTGCTTAGAAAAATTAGGCTGCGCACTCACTGTGCTGATGGCTAAATTCATGTCATGCACACTGTACGCATAAAAACCAAAGTACAGTTTGGGCTTTACTCTTAAGGAGTGTTCAGACTGACAGCTGCACGACAGTGACTGGAGCTCATCTGTTTTCAGCGAGAATTGGCTAATTCTTGATGCAGTTAGACCCTATAGAGTCTAAAGTCCATCACTATCCCTTCATCTCTTAATCTGCTTCCTCGTTCATGTTTTGATTTCCTCTCTCCCTTGCTCTTCCACCCACCACCCCCCACCCCCCCACATTGTCTCCATCTTCAGGTGTTTGAGAAGAAGAACCAGAAGTCTGCGGCGAGCATTGCCCAGCTGCAGCGTAAGCTGGAGCATTACCACCGGCGTCTGCGTGAGGTGGAGCACAGCGGCGTGCAGCGGCAGCCCAAAGACATGCTGCGGGACATGCAGCAGGGCCTGCGAGATGTGGGCGCCAGGGTCATCACGGGCCTCAGCGAGGGGGTGGTGGACAGCGTCAAGGGCGGACTGTCCAGTTTCTCCCACGTCACGCACTCGGCCGCCGGGGCCGTGGCCTCCAAACCTCGTGAGATCGCCTCACTGATCCGCCACCGCTTCGGCAGTGCTGATAACATCAGCGTGCTGAAGGACGGGCCAGAGGATGCCGAGGATGGTGTGGCCGCTGCTGGACGCTCTCTGGGATCCGCTGGCGGACACCTGCAGTCCAGCCCCAAGTTCGGCAGCGATGAGGACTGTTCGAGCGCAACCTCGGGATCGGTGGGAGCCAACAGCGTGACGGGGGCCCCCGGGGGCCCGCCCAGCTCCAGAGGAAACACACTAGAACGGGGCCACAGCGGCAGCTTGGACATGTTGCTGCAGGAGCTGCAGGAGCTGCGAGATGCTCAGACGCGGCTGGAGGAGACGGTGGAGAGTCTGAAGAGCGGGTATCTGAAGCAGTGCACACTACTGATGCAGGCGCTGCAGGAGGAGAGGTTCAGGTATACACACACACACACACACTCTCTCTCTCACACACACACACACACACACACACACACTCTCTCTCACACACACACACACACACACACACTCTCACACACACACACACATGAGATGTGCTGCCAGCACGATCACAGTCATGTACGGACACTATAGAGTCTATAGCAGAGCTTCTCATCTGGTTTTGCTTCAGGGCCCAGATCATTCTGGACATTCAGTAGCACAGCACAGCACAGCACCACACCACAAAAATCAACTGTAATGTCCTTATAATCAAACTGCCAAATGCATTCAAACTGAATTGGGCTGGCCAACATGATAATATATATTGTGGCAATGGTTTAAATCAGGGGTCTTCAACTAAAACTGCTTGAGATCCAGTAATGAACCCTTCTCACCAGACGAGGTCTGGACAATTGAAAGTGAAAGTGACGTGACATGTGGCCAAGTATGGTGACCCACTAGTATTAGTGCTCTGCATTTAACCCATCCAAAGTGCACACACACAGCAGTGAACACACACACACCGTGAACACACACCCGGAGCAGTGGGCAGTGTTTATGCTGCGGGGCCCAGGGGGCAGTTGGGGGTTCCTTGCTCAAGGACACCTCAGTCGTGGTATTGAAGGTGGGAGAGAGCACTGTACATTCACCTACAATCCCTGCCGGTACAAGACTCGAACCCGCAACCTTTGGGTTACGAGTCCGACTCTCTAACCATTAGGCCACGACTTTAACCATTACAGTCCCCAATTACATTTCTAAAAACATGAACTGATGGTTTTTGCCAGACCAGGGTATCTGCAGGACAATTAAGCTCAGATTTTAGACTTTAAGACCCTTTTTAAGACCTGAACAAATAAAATTAAAATGACTGTAAAAAGCATGATTTACAGTTCAGACACAGGTTTTCACAAAAAGTTTTATATAAACTTTACATTTCAGCCTTTAAACCATTTTTTAAAGAAAATGGAGTCAAAAGTTTCAATTATTAATTTAAACAATGATTATCAAATATTATTATATTAATTAAATAACATAAATATATGTTTTACTGTCTTAATTGTTTAGATGATTATAATGCATTATCTTCTTGTGGATCCACCAGTTCACATTTACAGCCCTGCGTGTTTGCTGCGTAAAAACATGGGTTGATTTTCACATTGGTCTGAACAAAAACTTATTGAAAATGCACATTCATTCTCTGCCAGCAGGAGGTGCTGTCAGAACAGCAGAAATACAGTGGTTTCCCCGGTAACAGCAGAGTTCATGTTTATTCAATGAAATCACAGCTTTTTGAAGTTTAATCGTCACATTCAGCCGTATCGCAATTCTCGTCTATCCTCCCCAAATTTAAGACCTCCTGAAATCACAATCAAGACTTTCTTGTACCATTTAAGACTTTTAATGGCGCGGTAGGACCCACATGGCTCTGCTGAGCTGACCTAGATGTGCTTGATATACATTAGATTTTATTAGAAAACAGCGTTTGGCATTTATTTATTTCATGATGTCAAAAGGCTTCACGGTCCAGATTGGGACTGGAGTCCATCAGTTGGTGACCCCTGGACTAAAGTGTCATTGATTTTATTAGAGCTTTTGCTATATAATGTATATCTGCTTGAAATCATTAACACTTTAGATTGATAGAGAAATATGGATGAATGAGAAAATAAAGAGTGTGATTTGCTTTATTTCAGTGCTGGGTGGTATACCGGTTCATACCGAATACCGGTGTTTATTTTTATTTTTTTTAAATACCGCAATACCGGTGTATGTCGCTTAAACAACGTTCGGAAAGCGACACTGTTTGGAAGGGGTCTCTTTTCACTGTTGCACTGTGTTGAGGGAACAGCTGTATGTGTTACTAAGCGTGAAAGTTCAGAAACTGAAGCTGTAGAACTAATAGAACGTGAAGAACTCATCCACAATATCTACACTGACCTCCACAAATATCCACCGCCCCCTGCCATCAGCTCCCGCGTCTCACACACGAGCGCGAGGTCTGACTTTCCCGGAGAAGTGTCCGCTCTCTCGGCGTCTGTTCTGTGCAGTGAGTGTCAATAAATGAGTACAAAACAGCGTTTCCTAGCACCTGTCGCTTACTGATTGTTTGGAATTATAAATATGAGCGTAGTTCGTCTGTTAATATCACATGCACTTTTTTGTTTGTTGTTTTTTTTAGTTTGTTACTCAGATGCAGGCAGTGCGCTGCATGAGACAAAAAAGTAATCTAGCCAAAACCACCGCATTGGTATTTTTTGACAATATTCACTCATCATGACAGTAAAATAGGGCATTCTAAGTCAATATACTGCAGTATTTCCTCTCTCAGTTAGTAGAAAATATGGTTAACACACGGTCATGCATGAAAAAAAAATACCGTCTTGTACCATGAAACCAGTATCATTTTGAAAAATACCGTGATATACATTTTTGGTCATACCGCCCAGCACTACTTGATTTATAAAAAAAGAGTTATTTAAAGCACAATAAGCCATGAAAGAGAGCTCAGTCCAGTGCTGGCTGTCTGACAGGCAGCTTTCTGTGCACTTTTACCGTGGTAGTTTAATTACTTAATTACTGACGTTACATTTGGACTGTACGTTCAGAGAACTGATGCTGTTGCCTGGTTTCTCCTAAAGTTTTTTTCTCCATTATCCAAAATCAAATGGAGTTTTCTCGTTCCTTGCCACAACTGCCTTTGGCCTGAACACTAGAGGACTAAATATAGACTTGACACACTGTGCCTCACACATCATAAGTGTTATGCCATGACTACTTTCAGTCCTCAGTTAAACCGCTTGGGGCGAGAGATGCAAAATACGAAATATCCTGTCATTTATATGCACCATTTAACTGTGTCAGTGAAACACACCACCAAATAGAAATTAGGCTCATCAGTTCACCAAATTGTCATGATCTTTCATAATTCTCCATTTCACCAGATAAGGAATTAAGTGATTTATATTATATAGCAAATGTGGTCTGTGTGATTGCTTATACAGCTCTTATCTAGAAAATGTGACTATAAGGCAAATATTATAATTGTGATATTTCATCATCTTTTATTTATTTATTTTTTTAATATATCAACAACCTGGTTTTCTGTAAAGCTACTTTGAAACAATATGTATAGTGAACAGCGCTACACAAATAGGTTTGACTTGTACTTGAATAACTCATGCACTGTCCATGTTAGTTATTCATCCAATATTTTCCCTGCTCACCACATCTGTATCAGAAACAGATTTTTGGATTGTGACCCAGCATATTTGTGGGCCTGAAATAGACTTAAGGTTTGGCTTTTTCCTCTTAAATGGTAAAAGTTCGAGAAGGGAAATGAAGAAGAGGGAGAATGTGAGTTCACACAGAGAGAGAGAGAGATGAATATACAAACATATTTCTGCCCTAAATGTCCAACTTGTGGTCAAGCATTTTTCTGTTGGCTTGTAATAACAGAAGCACAAAAATATAGCTTAAAAATCAACATGCTGTCAAGCTAATGGATAATTTTAGTTTTGCAGTAGAATCCATTAGTCCACAGTTTGTGGTGTCGTCCCTGAACTGTTGGACACACCATCACACTTTTGAGATGAGTAAGTGTTTATGAGTAAAGACCAAAAACATGCACAAGGTCTGGTTCACTCACATAAACACTCATTAGCGGCCTCATGTACAGGAAGTGACCGTGTTTGTGGCGTTGTGTTTCTGTAGGTGTGAGCGTTTAGAGGAACAAGTGAACGATCTGACGGAGCTCCACCAGAACGAGATCCTGAACCTGAAACAAGAGCTGGCCAGCATGGAGGAGAAGATCGCGTACCAGTCCAACGAGAGGGCCCGAGACCTGCAAGTGTGTGTGTGTGTGTGTGTGTGTGTGTGTGTGTGTGTGTGCGTGTGTGTGTGTGTGTGTGTGTGTGTGTGTGTGAGTGTGAGTGTGAGTGTGTGTGTGTGTGCATGTTTATGTGGTTTATGAGGACACAAATTTGTATAATAACATGGGTATGACATAGGTATTACAACAAGAAAGTGATTTATGAGGACATTTTCAGTGTCCCCGTAATTCAAAAGGCTTATAAATAATTCAGAATGAGTTTTTTTGAAAATCTAAAATAGCACAAAGTCTCCTGTGAGGGGTAGGTTTAGGGGTAGGGTTGGTATAGCAATAGAAAATACGGTCTGTACAGTATAAAAACCATTATGCCTATGGAGAGTCCCCACAAACCATAAAAACAAACCTGTGTGTGTGTGTCTGTGTGTGTGTGTGTGAGAGTGCATGTGCGTGTGCGCGTGTCTGTGTCTGTGTCTGTGTTTGTGTGTTTTACTATATGTCCTGCAGTGATGGCCTTAGAGGTCAGGATACTAGTTATGCATGGCTTGATCCGATTTGTAGAAATGCAGCATTGCATCAGTGTCTCAGCAATGGATGCTCTGCAGTGAATGGGTGCCGTCAGAATGAGAGTCCAAACAGCTGATAAAAACATCACAATAATCCACAGCACTCCAGTCCATCAGTTAACATCTGGAGAAGACCAAAACTGAAACTAATCCAGCATTAAAGTGCCCCTATTATGGATTTTTGAAAATGACCTTTCATGCAGTGTGTAAAACAGCTCTAAGTGAATGAAACATCCTGCAAAGTTTTAAATCTGAAAGTGCACCATGTATAAAGTTATTGTCTCTCGAAAGAGTCGAATCTGAATCATTGAAATGAGTCGTTTTTAAAACGAATCTCAAGCCTTTCATCTTGAGGTCAACATGAAACATTAGCATATTTCCCACCCACTTGTTGGTCTTTTCCAGTTGGTCTGAATAAAAATGCTAATTCATTCTTTGCCACTAGGTGCAGCTTTTGGAGCGTAAAAATAGCGGTTTCCCCAGTAACGCTGTACACAAAGCAGCACTGCGCTCACAAACGCTGCTTTATCAGGCATTACAGTCAGGCATGATGAAATGAAAATGAGACCAATCGGACCAATCACTGCAGATTAGCATCACGCAAAGGAGGGGTTTGGAAAAATTAATCGTTAAATGAATCGTTTGGGAAAGAGTCGAATCTGAATCATTGAAATGAGTCGTTTTTAAAACGAATCTCAAGCCTTTCATCTTGAGGTCAACATGAAACATTAGCATATTTCCCACCCACTTGTTGGTCTTTTCCAGTTGGTCTGAATAAAAATGACTCCCCATTCTTTGCCACTAGGTGCAGCTTTTGGAGCGTAAAAATAGCGGTTTCCCCAGTAACGCTGTACACAAAGCAGCACTGCGCTCACAAACGCTGCTTTATCAGGCATTACAGTCAGGCATGATGAAATGAAAATGAGACCAATCGGACCAATCACTGCAGATTAGCATCACGCAAAGGAGGGGTTTGGAAAAATTAATCGTTAAATGAATCGTTTGGGAGTCGTTGAGCAAATAAGGTAAAAATAAATGCATATTATAAAGCAGTGAAAGTGTTTTTTGACCTTGCATGCATGTCAACCTGTTATTGGGGACTCCCAAAACCAAAATATGAACCTTTCATTACCCATAATACACTTTAAGGGGTACTTTAAGATGTTTTTAACTAAAATACGAGTCCATAATCCATAACAACACTTCCTTCAGTGACAAAGTGCATCTCCTGTTGTCTCTCACATTAAAATCCAGCCACATATTTGTTTAGAGCTGTTTAAACGCTGCTTGATCTGTGCAGATTTCTCTCCTGATTCAGACCAGAACACTTTTTCACTGGAGGAAGCGTTATTATGGATTATGGACTTGTGTTTTAGTTAAAAACATCTTAATTCTGGATTTGTTTCAGCTTTTGTCTTCTCCAGATGTTAACTGATGGACTGGAGTGCTGTGGATTATTGTGATGTTTTTATCAGCTGTTTGGACTCTCATTCTGACGGCACCCATTCACTGCAGCGCATCCATTGCTGAGACACTGATGCAATGCTACATTTCTCCAGATCTGACTCATCTATATCTTGGATGGCCACATTTCAGCACGTTTTCATTTTTGGATGAACTATTACTTAACTTTTGTCAGCAAGTCCAAAGCTTATTCAGTTTTTCTCTAAAAATTAATACATGTCATTATCGTCACACACAATGACAGAGTTGAAGGTAAACAAAATGCCATATTAGAGCAACGTTACAGTAATATTAGACTATTTTATTACGACTTTTACAAGGAATTTGTCATCATGTTGCTGAGCTATTGTGATTTTATTTGTCATTTGGCACTGATAGTGAATGAAATCATGAGGTTTTGTGCACATGAACGCACTGCAGGAGTCGTGTGATCTGTGTGCTGTGTGAAATTGACCTGCGGTGTGTGTGTGTGTGTGTCAGGAGGCTCTGGAAGCGTGTCAGACGCGCGTCTCTAAGATGGAGCTGCAGCAGCAGCAGCAGCAGGTGGTTCAGCTGGAGGGCCTGGAGAACGCCACGGCTCGCACACTCATGGGCAAACTCATCAACGTGCTGCTGGCTCTCATGGCCGTGCTGCTGGTCTTTGTCTCCACCGTCGCCAACTGTGTGGTGCCGCTGATGAAGACACGCAGCCGCTCCGTCTCCTCGCTGCTGGTCTTCCTCCTCTTCGCCGTGCTCTGGAGGAACTGGGATGCTTTCTCAGGACACACCTCCCGCCTCCTGCACGTGCCCAGATGAGCGCACAGAAGACATGTTGGTTTCAGACCATTTTGCACAGTTTTTCCCTTTTGAATGCCTTTGGAGCATTGCTCTGGAATGAGATTAATATTAATATTATTCATATTTCTAATATAATTTAGCTGAATGTAGCAGTAGCTCACACAAAAATGAAAAATCTGTCATCATTTCCTCAGTGTTGTGAGTAATCCCGTATGCTGCTATTTTTTCTGATGAACACAAAGGGAGAAACGTTGATGTCCTAGTGACTCAGAACGATGATGAACATGTGAATGAACAGAAAGGGTGAACTGAGCTGCTCTAAAACGTCTCCTCCTGTGTTCAGTGAAAGAATAACATCATACATGTATTAGATCTGAGGAGGAGTGTTTGGTCGGAGCGTGTGTTCATCGGTCTGACTGAAGTGATGATTTGAGCTGCTTTCACGGCGTCTGAAGGAAGACTCAAGCCTCAGACATCATCCTCTGCTTTCATTACTCTCATAATTTTCAAGAGGTCAAAGGATGTTGCTGTTTACTAGCATTATCTGATGTAAAACACTGTTAAATGAAGTAATACTTTATTGAATATTGCACCGCCTTACTGGAGCTGTGACAGACAGCAGAGAAAGACAATGACAGTAGTAGCTGTGACTGCTTATTCATAATGTCTGTAATATCACAGTGCAGTGTTTCTGATCTGGTGTTTTGGCGTTATGATGGAGAGGGTTTTGTGATGATCTGTAGGTTCTTATGTCTGCTGTAGTGAATGATGGATCAGGATTCAGGACTGTTCTTATGCATGGAGACGCTTGTGTGTTTGATCATAAGCTGGACTCAAGCTGACCGAAGCTCCTTACACCTCCACTCGTGTGTCATTCAGATATTATGAACTGTTAGCACAGTTGTTTAACTGTACAGTAATAATGTTTAATAGTTCTGTTTCAGTCATTTAATAATCCTCAGGGGAAAGTCCTCTGCTGAAGCTGTATTGTGTGTGTGAGTGTGTGAGTGTGTGTGTGTGTGTGTGTGTGTGTGTGTGAGAGAGAGAGTGTGTGTGAGAGAGAGTGTGTGTGAGTGAGAGTGTGTGTGTGTGTGTGAGTTGTTTTAAACTACTCTAGTGCCTTCAAACACATCTCTTGATATCTTTTGTAATAAAGTTCATTTCTGACTAGAGCTTTAGTGTGCATAAGTTTCATACTATATTACAATTTAAAATGTTGTCAATCCTAATTTCAGAAAGTTTAGAAAGCATGAAATTATGAGAACACAAAATATATAGGGTAAAATATATATTTAACCATAAAGACATATGGGTAAAAACAGGAAAACAGTTAAGTCCCATCCAGATAAAGATATGCCTACACATAATCCAGATAATGTCCATCTTCCTTTAGGCTGGCATCAGATCCAGACCGTCCCCAGCGTAGGACCTTCTGTGGTCTCCGTAGTCATAGCGGATCTCTTTGCCCGTCTGAATGTCCCGTGTGGCCATGAAAAGTATGACCGGGTCATCCTCCACAAAGTGCAGTCTAGGACTGAGATTGGTCCGTTTGGCCGAGTGTTTAATTTGTCTGCCAAACGTAGATTTGTTTGGATGGCAGTGGCAGCGCTCCTCGTGAGCATCCAAACACATGCCCTGTCCATTCTTGCTGATGAAGAAAAACAGATGTCCAGCTTCAGTGTTCTGGTGGATCTGCAGTCCCTGCTCCCTGGAGATCAGCCGACTGTGGAAGTCACAGATCAGCTCTCCGCAAGCAAACGGCTTACTGGTGACCACACCGAGAGCCTTACCTTCTCTGTCCATCAGCTGCAGGCCTTTCCAGCACTGCCTGCGGCTCATCCGACGGATCGATGCATCTGTTGGTGCCTGGATGCTTCGTGGAGGCTTCCAGTCCTTCATAACTTCAGCAGCATCTGGCACGTTCTCCATCCATCCCTGCTTCTCCATCCAGCTGTGCACTCTGCTCTCGGATGGCAAACCAGGACCAAAGGTATCTGCAGAAACAAGATGATATTAGCTGTGCACGTGACTTCCAACTGTGGACAGTGTGTAAGTCTTGTTGAATCATTTTTCTCACAGTGTCTAGTCTTTAATGTTTGTCTTTATGAAGAAATGATCAACTGTCTGGCAAAAAATATGTTGCATATTTCAGGACGACGATGCTGAGATTCATCAGGCTCAAAATGTGGAAGTGTGGTTCAGAGAGCATGACGAATCATTTTCACACCTTTCGACAATGTCTCATATACATAAGCAGGTGACCTAATAAGGAGCCTTGTGGTACACCATACTTTTTTTTTTTTTAAGTATACAAATTTTGAGAAAAAATGATGGGTAAATGTTTTGCCATGCAGTATTGTAATTTTAAATGTTTTTATTTTTTGGAAAAAGTATTGAAGCACACCAAATTCTAGCAAATAGATTACAGTTGATGATCTAAAGTTAACCTCTTAAATGCTCTCCAGATGCTTGTCTCATATATGCTATTATTTAAGCTTAACATAATCACTTCTGAATTTGTTTCATAAAATAATTAAGTAAAGCATTATAACATATATTATTTACAAATAATTTGAGATTTTTTCTTTGGTCTGCTTTATGAAAAATCAGGACTTTTTAGCACCTTTGGTGCTAGTTTCATAACTTCCCTGCAAATTTGAGAAAGTTGTACTTGTTAGCAAATTTGGAGACTCTAACTCTAGCACCACCAACTGTCCAAAATTGCACTTATGTTTATGCTAATAACTTAACTATGAGGACTAGGAACTAAATTTGTCCCCTCAAAAGTCCTTAACTGCCGCTTGCAGCTATATTTTGCAGCAAGTGTTTGAAATTAGTGTGTGTGTGTGTGTGAATTTGAGTCTGAACATTTGCGAGTGGCGGCCCAAAGATGCACAATAGTTTAAGTAGGGCCAAGAGGAAACACATGGCTGAACTTTGGACAGAATACTTTTTGAAGATCTTCTTGTTTCTCACAATAATAAATGAACAAATTGAAATGAAGTATGATTGCTTTAATAAAACTCAACCCCTGGGACATAAAAATGCCAGAGCTGATGTAATACCCAGATATGGAATATGAGTTTTGTATTTATAAATGAACGAAAACCAAGTACAAGACGCTGACGGAGTTTCTTTTGATTGGCACACCAAAGCGGGAGGCAGTGGCTCTCGTATTTCCTCGAGATGTGCATTCGAGCAGCTTTATCTGGAGGCGCTGCAGGCACCGGTACTGGATGTGACATCTTCAGCAGGTAAAAAGCTGTGTTCGCATTCATCCATATGGGCTCAGGCTCTTCAGCTGGACTAAAGAGACGAAAGTGCACATCTCAGTGAGGATACTTGAATGATTGAGAACAGGGTGGATAACATACAGTAGAAGCAGCAGCAGGACTGAGGTTTCTCCGCAATGCATGTCGAGTAGGTGAAGTTTCTCCTCATCTGACAAATCACTGTTCTGCCTGGCAGTGTGTAGTTCAATAGATCTGGCCATGTTGCTGGTGATGCTTGGGAGACCGTACCTGCAAAACAGAATGAAACAGTTTTGCAAATAAATAAATGCGGGGGAAAACACTAAAGGTTTATTTTGAGTGCACTCACTCATCATGCAGCTTCTTTAGATCTTCAGAGGGCTTGTCAACCGGATTCTCTGAAGAAGATATGAAGAATCTCTCAGCTTAATCTGAACTGCATCTCCTGTGCCTCCTCTTGATCATAGCTGAGCGCAGATACTCGTAGTAAACCTTAAACCACTGCATGATGGACAGAAGAGAACTATGTGAGGTTCTGACAGATCCAAGCAGCTCATTGTAATATCATTTATTATTAATCTTACCGCTTCCTCCTCTGACAGGACAAAGAAGGCATGGCATTGGTTTACTTCCACCATGGTTCGTTCACCATTTCCCTCAGTGTATGTCCGCCGCAGCCAATCAGAAACCTGCAAACAATTCAAACAATAATAAGCCAAAATGACTCTCAATCAGACACTAAAACTGAGCAGATTTAACTGACCATGTCACAACCTCATCTACTGTCACGTGGGTCAAGTCTATGTGCAGGAGGCCATGTCACTCACGTCATATTCTTCACCACGTCTGGCTGTTGGAGGAACCACAGCATCACTAGGGCCTCCAGGAAATACAGCACCAGCAGCTCATGTTCTCTCAACATTTCTCCAGAATCATCTATCATTCCTTGAGCAATGATTTTCAAGAAATCGTCTTCAGCAGACTGCAAGACCCGCCAGCACTGACCTGCTGAAAGAACCCTGCAGGAGGAAGTGTAGGACATCAGAAGAACATGAGACTCATGAGAGCCAGGATATAACACTCAGAAATATGAATGAATACGTGTGTGTGTGTGTGTGTGCCTGTTTTTCTATTCTGGTGGGAACTTAAACCTGAATACACACAGACTCATGGGGACTCGTGTCATGGTGGGGACCTAAATTGAGGTCCCCACAGGTAAACAAGCTAATAAATCACACAGAATTAAGTTTTTTGAAAATCTAAAAATGCTGAAAGTTTCCTGTAAGGGGTAGGTTTAGGTTTAGGGTTGGTGTAGGGCAATAGAATATACAGTTTGTACAGTATAAAAACCATTACGCCTATGGAGAGTCCCCACAAGGATAGCAAACCAGACGTGTGTGTGTGAGTGTGTGTCTGTGTGTGTGATGTGTGTGTCTGTGTGTGTGATGTGTGTGTGTCTGTGTGTGTGTGAGTGTCTGTGTGTGTGTGTGTGTGTGTGTGTGTGGTATTCTGGTCAATGTCCCCACAATACCAGTAAATTTTGACCTTGTTGGGACATTTTTTGGCCCCCATGAGGAAACAAGCTTATAAATCACACAGAATTAAGTGTTTTGAGAATGTAAAAATGCCTGTAGTTCCCTTTCATGGGAACTTCAAACTGCATCCTCTAGGGGTCGCTATGGGGAACGCCTCGTCATGACCCGTGTCTGAAGCATACAGGTGCATCTCAATAAATTATAATGTTGTGGAAAAGTTCATTTATTTCAGTAATTCAGCTAAAACTGTGAAAGTCGCGTATTAAATAAATTCAATGCACACAGACTGAAGTAGTTTAAGTTAGAATTAGAATACGTAATAAGACCAATAAAAAATAAAAAAAATTTTAGTGAATCGTTGGCCTTCTGGAAAGTATGTTCATTTACTGTACATGTACTCAATACTTGGTAGGGGCTCCTTTTGCTTTAATTACTGCCTCAGTTTGGTGTGGCATGGAGGTGATCAGTTTGTGGCACTGCTGAGGTGGTATGGAAGCCCAGGTTTCTTTGACAGTGGCCTTCAGCTCATCTGCATTTTTTGGTCTCTTGTTTCTCATTTTCCTCTTGACAATACCCCATAGATTCTCTATGGGCTTCAGGTCTGGTGAGTTTGCTGGCCGGTCAAGCACACCAACACCATGGTCATTTAACCAACTTTTGGTGCTTTTGTCAGTGTGGGCAGGTGCCAAATCCTGCTGGAAAATGAAATCAGCATCTTCAAAAAGCTGGTAAGCAGAAGGAAGCATGAAGTGCTC